TCTGTTAACACAGAACTCCCTTAATCTCTTCTCTCATCTCAGTACAGTATTATTTGGCTGCCCCATAGTTCACTTGTCCTTTTGAGCACCTACTGTACAACAGGAAGTGCACTAGACCCCAGACAAATAGTCCTTGCCCGAGAGAAGCTCCACAGGCTGGTAGGTTGAGACACGCATCTAGTTCCACTGCAGTGTACAGAGTACCTAGTAACGAAGTCCAGTCTCTTTTTAGACCTTATCTTACTTGAGCTCTCTTGCATCATTTTCCCAAAGGACAAACACCTCTGTTAAGGAAATTTTCTCTTTTTCTTTCTCCTGTGGCATTCCTCACACCTGGTTTTCTTCTTTGCTTCTTTCAGACTTCCTTTTGCATCTCTTTTCTTTCTGTTCCCATCTTCTCATTTTAAATGTCTTTCCTGCTGCGTACTAGATCTCTCCACTCGACAGACATTCAGGTTTGCACACTTCTTTCCTCAAGAAATGTAATTTACTTAGTTGCCCATATTAACTATTAAATATCCTGGAGTCGTCCACAATCCCTTGTCCTCCTCACGAAAAGACTTGGCCATTCTGCTTTAAAAATGGCATTACAGGGCACCTGGGTGGCTCAGTTGGTTAGGCATCTGCCTTCGGCTCAGGTCATGGTCCTGGGGTCCTGGGATCGAGCCCTGCGTTGGGCTCCCTGCTCCGCGGGGAGCCTGCTTCTTCCTCTTCCTCTGCCGTTCCCCCTGCTTGTGCTCTTGCATGCTCTCCCTCTGTCAGATAAATAAAATCTTAAAAAAAAAAATGGCATTACAATTTGGTCAGGTGGCCAGCACCTCTGCCATTAGTTAACCTACAGCAATATCTTCCTCCTTCTTTCTTGTCTGAAGTGCATCTTATATGCTTCAATTTTAGCAATTATTTTTAAAAAATTTTTCATGGTATTCTTATTTTACTCCTAAAGTCTTTTAGTGTCTTTCCTGCTGCCTATCAGATCAGGTCTCACTTTCAGAGCTATTCACCATCTGCTCCTGATCGACTTTTCTGGTTTCTCTCCTGTTTAGCTATGGTGCTTATTAGCATTTGGAAGGTACTCACTGAATACTGGATGGGTAAGTGGGTGGTGCATAAAAACCTGACCTTTTCTCTCCCAAGGGCAGTATCAAATTCCCATTATGTAAGTATGGTATCTGCTAAGTTTACCTCTTGATAGTTTCTGTCATTTTTAAATTACAGTGGTGTAAAGATGAATAATCTATGAGCTGTTTTTTTTTTTAAATCCTGTTTCAGGGGCACCTGGGTGGCTCAGTTGGTTAAGCATCCAACTCTTGATATCGACTCAGGTCATGATCTCAGGGTTGTGAGACTGAGCCCTGGGTCAGGCTCCCTGCCCCCGGGTGCATGCGCACTCTCTCTTACTCTCTCTCTCTCTGTCAAATAAATAAACAGGGGCACCTGGGTGGCACAGTCATTAAGCGTCTGCCTTCAACTCGGGTCATGATCCCAGGGTCCTGGGATCGAGCCCCACAGTGGGCTCCCTGCTGAGCAGAGCCTGCTTCTCCCTCTCCCTCTGCCTGCTGCTTCCCCTGCTTGTACAGTCTCTCTCTCTCTCTGTCAAAAATTAAAAAAAAAAAAAAAAAGAACCAGCAAGTGCTTAAAAAAATAAATAAATCTTTTTTTAAAAAAATCCTGCTTCATAAATTTATTAACCTAGTGTATGTGCTGAATTGTTCATATGTTGAAATCCTGATCCCCAGTACCTTAGAGTATGACCATTTTGGAGATAGGGTTTTTAAAGAGGTAATTAAGTTAAAATGAAGTCAATGGGATGGGCCTTGGTCCATTAGACTGCTGTCCTTATAAGAAAAGGGAATTCGGACACAGACACGTAGAAAGAAGACCATGTGATGACTTAAAAGGAGAAGATGGCCGTCGACAAGCCAAAGACTTCCAGTCTCCAAATCTGTAAGAAAATATATTCTGTTGTTTAAGCCTCCTAGTCTGTGATGGCTTAAGTTGTTGTGACAGCCTTAGCAAACTGATATACCCTGTGTCTTTTAATTCGCTTAGGTTTTAAGTCCTGTGTCTAGGGACTTTATCCTTAGGAAAGGGATGGACTGAGGATCCAATAAAATCTCTCCTCCAATATCAGATTTCTTGGAAGTATTTTAAATTTGTCCTGGGGAAAGTGGGCCATCCTTACCTTTTTCAGACTAGATAGCACTTATGATCAGCTACCCAAAGACTGGGTTTTTTCCTTCCAGTTTTGAGATGATATATCTTATTTCTCTTGAACATACAAACAAAGCAAGATTCCATTAAAAATATCATTAATCCCCATTTATTGCATTGATTTTAAACAGATAAGGAGTTTAATATTTTCCAGGCTCTTGTTTTAATAGCTAGAGTGCAGTAAGTTCTCTCTGCAATGCATAGTTTTGCCAACCGCAGCATCACATTTCCAGAGAAGATATTTGCTGTGGTGAATTTATGTGCTTTCCAGCAGTTCTTTTGAGGTTCTGGCCTTGGGGGAAAAGAGTACTCTGAATCACTAAATTTGGTTTATTCAGGTTTTCCTGTCCTATTTCAGGTTGCCATATTGTCTACCTCATAATGCCTGTTCTTTCTCCATCCCCTCCTCCCTCACATTCCAGCCAGCTCCTCAGCAGTGGAGGTAATGAAGCTAGGGAAATTAAATATGTTGAGTGGGTTAGAGACTTTATTGGAAAAGAACTTTTGCATTTACTGATCATCTGCTCAGGTCTGCTCTGATTGCCTCAGATTAAATAATAATTTCAACCCCATTAAAGACCTTGAGAAGGTTCACCTTTATACCTGCCTGTAATGTCACCATTAACATCTCAGGTGGATCTGAGTCCATTTTATTTTATAAATCCAGAATGAGAGGCTATAATTCTTTTCTGAGAACTTGTAATTTATTTTCTATATCTACTCTGAACTTCATGCTACAATCTTAAACTTGTTCCATCTTGTATCCATGGTAGAGGTGGAGGATGGCTAGTCACCATGTATCACAGCTCTTTTTCTTGAGACATGAGGCATTATTAAATTGCCTCTCTACCTTCTCTTTTCCAAACTGTGCTTTATTGGTTCTTTAGCCTTACAGGCCTTATTTTAAATTTTTAATTACATATCAGATGTGTCATTAAGGCCTTTCCGTATTTCTCACAACTCTCTTTGATGATGGATCCAGCACTGGTTGAATATCATCTGTACAATGAGAAGACAGTCCGTTTCTACACTCAGTACTATATATATACATTTAGGCATTTTGGTTTCATGCTTAATTTTTGTTTTTGACTTAACTAATTAAAATCCAAAGCAGTTAAACAAAAGAAGATTATAAAATTCTTTTTTCCATGACAAAGGGTAATTGAAACATAAGTTGCAGGTAATCTTTGGACTTCATATGCCTTGGTACTCAGATTCGGAGAGATAAGAAGTATATTCCATTGACTGGAACCAAAAGTAAGAATTTTCTGTATCTATTTTACAGTCTTGACATTGCCTCCAACCAACTGGATTATAGTAAACAAGTCATTTAATTCTTTCTATATAATTTTATTTATTTATAAAACTGAGGAAGGTGGAGATTAAGGTTGGATGACCTCTAAGTTGTCTTCCACTTCAGAAATTATATTGTATACTCTGCTAACGACAGTAAGTCGATCAGTGGGGTTGTAGTGGGTAAGTATATTTGGAGCATGTAGATTAATTCACTTGAAAGATATCAAGTACATATATTGAATACAATCTACTACATGCCAGGTGCTGGCAAACACAGTGATAAATCACATATTTTTCAAAGAGTGCATTTTATTAGGGGAAAGAAACGTAAAAATAAATGCAACTCACTGTTACAGGGGCTGTGGTAGAAGTCTAAGGCGTGTTGGGACATGAGGGAGAGTTGGGTGAATTTTGCTTGGTGGCAGGAGCATCAGGAAAAGGCCAGTGATTCAAGGAGCCAAATATGAAGGCCTGAAGAAGAGCAATCACAGTGAAATTGGGGAGGGGCGGGGGGAGCAGGAGCCTGATGGCAGTGGCTCAAGTTTGAGATTGAGGAAGTAGGAACAGTGGGTACAGAGGATTTTTTCCAAGGAGCTGGACTGTAAAGAGAAAAGAACTGAGGGGAGTGGGCAGGGATTTGAGGAAGTTGTTGTTAAATTTGGGGGTAAAGAGCTAATTTAGAGGTTTTGGGGGGAAAGCTTCTAGAGGGGAAAGTTTGTTCTGACAGGTGAAGAAGACCGAATTAAGAAGGAACTTGAAAGCAAGATTGAGGATAGAAAGAAAAACAGATAGATGGAACAGATAATGGTGATAAAGCAAACATAGCAAAGTCTTAATTGTAGCATCTAGGAGGTAGGTGAATGGCAAAATACAATTCCTTCAACTTTGCCACATGTTTGAAAGTTTTATAATAAAATATTGGGAGGAACAAAAGGAATATAGATTGAGAGTTTAGCTTTGAGCAGAACAGGGGACACTTACTCCTCGTTGTGGCAGCAGATGGTGAAATTCAAGGTTAAAGCCTCAACTTCTTCATGAAGTCCCAGCCACTCTTCCCCGTTGAGGGCAGAGAGCCAGAGCAGAGGAGCCCTGAGGAGAGTGAAGGCTGGAATCAGGACTTGGGGAGTAGGAGAGGGGACTGAGCAGACCTGACAAAAAGGAGGAAGCCATGAGGCTCAAGTTCTGGTGAAGTTGGAGGGCACAGAGTTGCGCTGGTGTGAGATTTTTCCCTAGTAAGTTGTCAGGAGATGGAAGTTAGTAGGGCACTGGGGCGAGGGTTTAAGATTAAAGTGATGAGTGGACGGGACGAATGGCTCCTCCGACTGTTTATCAGCAGTCTGTTCTGGAACAAGTCTCAGCCTCTCTGGTTCTGTTGGGATTCTGTTTCCTACCTCACTGTATTTTTATTTGAGTGAAATGAGATAAAAATAATGTTACAAAACAGTGTCATTGTTAACATTTAACTGAGATAATTGTATTGTCTTCTTCAGGTAAAAGAAGAACGTCCAGAAAAAATACCAGATCTAAAATTATTAGTGGAGAAGAAATTTTTGGCTTTACAGAATAAGAATTGTGATGCAGACTTTCAAAATAATGCAAAATTTGTACAGTTTAAACAACAGCTGAAAGAACTAAAGAAGCAATGTAAGTCCGCATGCTTTGCTTTGGTTTGGCTTTTTGAAATTAGGGAACTGACCTGATAAACAGTCCCAGAAAACTGATTTTATAGTTTTGCCTATCTGCTTGGCTTGATCCTCTTTCTAAATTGCTTTTTATTGTTGTTGCAATTCTGTATTTTGTCTGACTTTTAGTTCAAATCAGCCTGTCCATTTCTGAAAGCCAACAGTTTCCACAAAGTGCTAAGAAAATTCCCCAGCAGCTCGACAAAGTGACACTGTATTGTCCCATTGCCGGGGAGGGGAATTGGGAAATTAAAACGGAACTATTTTATTAAAATAGCAATGGTGTTTTCAAATTTTAAACTGCTGTGCCACGCTTTTAAAATAACCAGTTTGAATTCTAGTTTTGCTGCTTTGGAGTAGCAGTAGCAGTGTTTTCTCAACTAGTCTTTTTCTTCTCAAATTTGGACCAGGATCCTCTCGATCCCTTCTGTCTTTTGGTAGCATAAATTCCATGTGACTGTGATTGTGATTCCAACATAATTTTGATTTAAAAATGAGATTGGGAAAAATGATTCATTATACAAAAAAAATTTTTGTAGACAGTATTTGACAGAAGTAGATCTTTTCTACACAGTGAAGTACGTCCGTCCTTTCTTTCCTCTTTTTTCCACGTAATCCACATAACAGTTTTATGTAATTTTGATCATTTTTATATTAGCACCAGTTGTCATTCTTCTAAGGCTCCCATCTCTTATTATTCCTTAAAGAATTGGATAGTGAAGCAAATAACTTTTTTGTAAACTTCAGTTTCCCATCATCTTCATTTGCATACCCATGGAGCACTGTCATATGAGATGTAAATTTCCTTCTTGTCCTTATTTGTACTTAGTGTAAGGATTCACATTTTGAAATAAGCTTTCTTTAAAATACAAGCATTTTCTTTAAATTGATGCTGAGGTCTCAAAAAACGACTGGGGAAGCAGCTCTACTTTTGTCTATTTTACAAGTAACTTAAGTTTCACAATTTAGAATGTTTTGCAATCGTGATGAGACTTTTGCTTTTACGTGGATTTAAACAGTAAGCATTTTCTCCATGTTTTCGTTTATTTTTTGTTCTTCTTTGAACATCACAGCTACCAAAATCCTTCTAATATAACTTGCATGATCCCCCCCACATGGGTAATAATCCCCCAAACAGGTAATGTAATAATTTGTTAGTGTCTTCGTGATCTTAAAGGTGCTAGTGAATTTCAGCTTTGGTGTGGGTCAGAACAGCTAAATGTATTTCATTTTTCTGCTTGGAACCAATAATGACAAATTATGTATGGCAGATTTAGCATCCAACCATAATTCTTGATTTTTTTTTTTTTTTAAGATATTTGATAATACAGATTGAAGGATAAATATCCAAAAATATGAATTTCTTCTGCCTTTGTTATTGTTTACAAAGTTATTATTCCATAAGAGAAAGCTATAGACTTTTAGAATTATATACTCACAAGGGAACACTTTCTTACGAAGGATATGTAATTCAACAAAATGACAAGTGTAGGAATCATGGTTATTGTTTCCTTAATTTTCTCTAAAATGGTCAGGGGGAAGGGGCTGAAGGCGGTTTCCCCAGGCCAGTGGTACTACGCATCATTTGGATAGACAGTTAAACTTTATGACAAAGTAAACTTATATTGAAAGAAATGCTTCCTTATATAGGGTTTCCCTATATATGGTAACACTGGAATAAAGATCACTTTCGCTTTTTGTTTCTCCTAAAACATTCTTTTAAAAAGTTTTTAAATCTCGGGGCGCCTGGGTGGCTCAGTTGGTTAAGCGACTGCCTTCGGCTCAGGTCATGATCCTGGAGTCCCGGGATCGAGTCCCGCATCGGGCTCCCTGCTCGGCAGGGAGTCTGCTTCTCCCTCTGACCCTCCCCCCTCTCATGCGCTCTCTCTCTCACTCTCTCTCTCTCAAATAAATAAATAAAATCTTTGAAAAAAAAAAAAAAGTTTTAAAATCTCAAATGACAGAACAAGTAAAACATTAATACACTCTTAAATGCTCTCTAAGGCGTATATGCTTTACTTGCAAAATGCAATTTTTAGTGCGTTATTGGTACTGTCAAACCAGCACCTTGTCTAATGGATTTTATTTCTTTAGATGTAATGCTTTAGATGGGATGCTGCTGTGAGGGTGTTGATTAGCATCAGGAGCCCACAGTTTTTGTGGAGCCAAGTCGGAGGGACTAGGATCTATACAGGAGGAGCCAATGAATGTTTGTTTTGAGATATGCTCTGAAGGCAAGGAATTACAATAATAATTTTTTTTTTTTTAAGATTGGAAACTACAAGCCAGGGAGAGATTCTTGCCTCTAGTTGCCTATCTTGGCAAAGTAAAGGCTGAAACAGTGTTCTGATCTCCACGTATCTGAAGGGTTCTCTCATGAAAAGCACTACTACGCTCTCCCCAACTTCATTGACACTGACATAAATTGCATGGGATTAAATTTTGCCGGATCAGGATCCAATCACAAGTGCTAGGAAGCTCTTTGGTGGGGAGAGGCCAAGATGGAGACTGAAATCAGGTGGTCTGAGGAAGTGGCCTGCAAGCCGCCTCTGCCCACCCAGCTGTGGGAGTAAGTTAACCCAGCTGTGGCTCGGCAGCTGGCTCTCCAGCTCTCTGGTCTCAAGATCCCTTTACATTTTTAAGGTTTACCGAGGGCCTCCAGAGAGCTTTTGTTTACATGGGTTGTGGCTCTTGACATTTATCACATTAGAAATCAAAACTGAGAAACTTCAAAAATATTAATTCATTTTAGAAATCAGTAGTAAACCCCATACGTGTTACCGTAAAGAGGGTTATGAAATACAACTATGTATTTTCCAGACATAAAAATGAGTGACAGGTGTGACATTGTTTTCCAGTTTTGCAAATCTCTTCAGTTTCTGGCTTAATGGGAGGCAGCTGGATCCTCATATTTGCTTCTGCATTCAGTCTGTCCTGGTGCACTGTTTTGCTTGAAGTCGACAAAGAAATGCTGGCCTCACACATAGGTAGTTGGACTTGCTGAAAGGATCTTGCAGATTCAGACCACCCGAAGTTCTCATTTTGAGAACCACGGATTTAGGCCAGAGATCAGTAAACTATAGCCTGTAGGCTGAGCGCAGGCTGTCTCCTGTTTCTCTGTGGCCCGAAAGCCAGGAATGGTGTTTTTACATTTTTAAGTTGTCTGGAGAGAAGTTAAGAGAAGGATAATATTTTGTGATGTGTGAAAATTCCGTAAAATTCAGATTTCAAAATAAAGTTTGACTGGAATGTAGACACACTCACTCGTTCCCACGTTTCTGTGTGTGCTTTACACTGTAATGGCAGAGTTGAGTAGTTATATCAGAGACCATCTGGCAAAGAAAGCTTTTAATATTTGTTAGCTGGCTCTTTACAGAAAAAAGTGTACTGACCTTTGGCCTAAACCATAATCAGAAACAAGGACAGTTTTGGGGGGTTTTGTGTTTGTTTTTTTTTAACTTTAGATTTTTCCATAAATACTATACATTTGTCTTAGGTACGTTCGGAACACTTGGAGTGACTGCTATTTATGAATCATTGCATTTGGTGCTCCGAGATAAATAAAAGGCAGAGTCCCTCTACTTGGTAAAGACAATATACACATATATGAAATAAATTGAGAACCATTAATAACAACAAATCAAAAGCAAAGAAAAATGCAAGAAACAGCTGTTACACAACATAAGAGAGAGTCAGAATGGGAAAATGTAGCTTTTTTTGGTGACTAATATTGCCAGTCAATTGATAGGGTAGGGTCTGTTTGGAGCTATATGTTCCGAAAGATTCAGAGGCTGGGTTCAGGCCCAGCAGGAAAGAGTGTGCTGAAGGATTACAGTGGGAAAGAGGAGGGATACTACAAATATCTGGTATTTGCTGTCCCTAGCATATAAACATAACAGGTATGCTGTACTCATTTAAAGATAGGATTACTCAAAAGGTAACATACTTAAGTTGCACACAATAATTTTTTTAGTTGTTATTTATGTCTTTGGATATTACCAGGCATTAGATACAACTTCTTTGGGCAGTTTACTGACCCCTGGTCTAAACCACAATCAGAAACGAGAGCAGGTTTTTGGTTTGGGTTTTCGTTTTTGCTTTTGTTTTTTAACTTTACATTTTTCTATAAATACCATACTTGGGGACCCATTGTGCTGTATGTTAGAGATATGTCTGTCCCAGCTTTCCAAAATTATTACCAAGATCAAATGAAACAGTGGATCTTCGAAAACTCTGAAAGCTTGTTTTAGATTTCCGTTGTTATTGAGAAAGGGCCTGTAGAGCGTAGTGGAAAGAGTATGAGCTTAGCAGCCGGAAGACACGGTTTGAGTCACTGAACGTGTAGCCTGGTTTGCCTGCCGGTGCCCATTTTTCTTAGCTGTGATTCTCGGAAGCATACAAATCAAGATTGATTGAAGATAATTTTTACACTTGGTGGTGGTGATGGTAACTGAGTTAGGGAACAATTCCAAAGAAAAGGATTCCATTTCCCTAAATGGGAATCATGCTCTTAACTAACCCAAGTTGTGAAACCAACAATATGATTTGGTTTAAGGCAGACATAATAACCATACTTTCTTGGATAAAGTGATTTTAATTTATCTAAACAATATGTTCAGGTAATTTCTCTCTTCCTTGACTGTTTAAGTGTCTTCACTATTCCAACTTACGGTTCCCTGCACTTTAGCATCAGGAAAACTTAATTAAAATGTGCAGATAGCTCTGTATGGACACTTTCTCAAGTCGTCAAGCAGCCTTTCTGCCATCCTTCATTCATTCACCTATTACATAATTAGCAGGCATGAGAAGTTTTAGTGCAGGTCAGCAAGGCAGAAATTGAGGACATTAGATGTTAATTGGACATTTAGAAACCTTTGAAATATAAGGGCTTCACTTTGTGATCAAAAATAGAATTGATTGAATCTGTGATCTTTAGTATTAAAATAACCTAATATGAAATGT